GCCTGCAGAGCACCCAGCGCAGCAGCGCCCAGCGCAGCAGCGGCAGCAGCAGCACCAGCAGCAGCAGCACCAGCAGCAGACCACCGGAAGCCCGGCTAGCTTTCGTTCACCCCCTCTGGCCTCAAGTCTCGCTTCTCCCTGTGCATGGACTCCAATGTTGGCCTGTCAGCAATGGTAAAGGGGAGGTCACCATCTCATGGCCTCAGAAAGGCACTACGGAGGGCAGGCTCTACTCTGGTGGCAGGATGCCTTTATGTTGCTCACCACTTTGGGCCTACCCGGTTGCTGCCTGCTGACCATCCTACAAGGGGCAATGACTTTCCTCCTCCTACACGGAGCTTCCTGGGCACAACTACAGGTTTGACGGAGCTCTTGCAGTTGGCAAAGATCTCAAGCCTGAGCCGATGGGCTTCGAACTGGGTTGGCCATACGATTGACTTCGACGCCACGCTTGGATTTCCTGGCGAGGGGCTTGGATTTGGACCCATCCTGGACTTCATTGCACCGGCGTGTGCTATCCCAGAGCTCGCCTCCATTCTAAGTAATTGCTACCTCACTTCACTCGGCTCTTGCGCATTGGGTCGCACTCCCCTGGCGGGTACGCGGTAGTTGCGCCAAGCCATGGAAAAGCTGGAGCCCCAAGACGGGGCAGACCTGAAAAGAGCTGCAAACCGAGGCGACTTGGAGCTGCCTTTCGGCCGCCCGGTGCTCGAGGTGACACAGAGACAAAGGGACAAGCTGCTAGACAGCTTCATACAGTGGCTGGGATCGAGAGGAGTCTCAGCGCATGAAGTCCTCATGACCACCACCCCTGATGCAGAGCTAGTGAACACTCTACTAGAGCAGTATGGCCGTGAGCTATACAGGGCAGGATGCCCTTACAACCACTACGCAGAGACGGTGAACGCCGTCCAGAGCAGGAGACCTCGACTGAGGAGGTGCTTGCAGCCGGCGTGGGACCTGGCCTACGCCTGGCTCCGACAGGAACCCCCGAGCCACTCCTTGGCTCTTCCATGGCAAGCGCTCCTGTCGCTCCTCACTTCGGCGTGGATGTGGGGATGGAGCAGGGAAGCTGGAGTGGTCGCCCTCTCCTGGGGCGGGGTGACTCGCATTGGAGAAGTGCTGAGTGCATGTTGGCGGGACTTGGTCCTTCCGATCGACGTGGACTACTCCATCAACTACGCCCTCCTCCAAATAGCAGAACCCAAGACAAGATACAGATGCGCCAGGCGTCAGATTGCCAAGCTGGATCACCCCCAGCTCCTCCAGGTGATCGAAGTCGCCTCTGCGCATTTGGCACCGAGCCAAAAGCTATGGCCGGCGTCCGGCCAGACGATGAGAGGACGCTTTCAGAAGCTGCTGAAAGCAAACTCGCTGCTGGAGCTGCCAGAGGGCATCTCTAAGGGCATTGACGTGGCCAGCGAGGACAGCGAGCTGGCAAGACGAAGGGGCAGGTGGATCCCCACCAAAATCATGGAAATCTACGTGCAGGAGGCGTGGGCGGTGCAGTTCCTCCCACACCTCCCTGCAAAGGTGAAGTCGAAGTTTCTCCAAGGTGTGGCACTTTTTCCGTGGGCTCTCCAACTAGCCCTACGGTGGCGCAGAGCAGCCATTCCAGACTCGGCATGGCCTGTTCTGTTTGAGAAAGCTGCGCGTGACTTTGAGCTGAAGTCCTTAGGAGGCAACGAATGGGTGATGGAGAAGCCGCTGACGCGGCACTGTGCACCAACCAGCATAGCATGTGAGAAAAAACCCGCAAGAGCTGAAGAGTAGCCTTTTAACTCTGAATGGTGGGCTCAAAGCCTTGCCCACAGACCACCCACCCGCGCGCTTCCTCAAACCGCTCCTAGAAGCCGCTGACGCGGCACTGTGCACCAACCAGCATAGCATGTGAGAAAAAACCCGCAAGAGCTGAAGAGTTATATACACATATTATTATATATTTTTTCACCCAGCATTTTTCAACTTCTTGGCCTAGGTGAGCTTTGTCAGCCAAGCATATTGCCTTCTTGTATCTTTTTGTATGATTTCCACAACTGGCCACTCACAGTTTGTCCTGGTGTCAGTCATGTTGAGATTGAGCGAGCCAGGTGCTTTGCAGGTGAGTCTTGCAGGTGCTCTGCAGGTGATTCAAAATTGGGCATGCAGACGTGCGGACACTTCGGGGCTTCGGGCATGTCGGTTCCGGCTTGGTGTTGCAACCAAAGCCGTCCTTCAACAATAAATATACCCTTACAAGGTGTATGTTGTTTAATGGATCGAAGAGATGCCATTGGTATCGACATAGATTTCTCTTTTGGCTCTGACGTTTCTGAGGCATTCATTTTGCATCGGAATCAAAGCCTTGATTGTCACAACGCCATCAACTTCTTGGGGAGCAGCTTTGTTCTGGCGCACGGATCAAGTTGGAGAAGATGATCACTTGTTGCAAAATGATCCGGAAAGTATTTTACAATATTTTACACAACACTCACCACATACAAACAATTCATGTGTGTATACATAGTATTATATAGTATTAATACATCACATATCTATGCACCTGCACATGTCGAGAATTTGCTCTGCAAATATCTTTTCACCGTTTCTCACCTGAAAACCAAAGACGCGCCGGGTTGCCTCACGGTGGTGGGCAAAGAACCTTGTAGCCACGGTGAAGAGGGCCAGGCGGGAAGATCGAGACCAAACATCCAAACATGGGGGATTCGTCGGGGTCGTGAATGATGCGACTTCCAAGCCTTTCGGGATCAAGTGGAAACTTCAGGTACGTTCAACATCACAGAACATAATGGCAGATTTCTTTTGACAAGAGTGCAGAGTGCCGTTCAACTGTGGCAGGCTGTGGCCGTTTTTTTGTTTGAAAATCACGCAGAGGACTACTCGCACTGCAAGGTTACCGGGTTGTTCTTGGATGCTTCGAGGCTGAGTAGGATCCTTGCCGCAGTTACTATTTCCTTGGGTGTTGAAGGTTGGCAGATCCAGGGCAGGATTGCTGACAGCGCTGGCTTTGGCAAGTACAGCGGCATCCGACCAAGGTTGCTTTTTCGGTGGAAGCTGTCAGACAGAGACGTTGGAGCAGCAATTCTGGCACTGTAAAGATGAGGGCAGCTGCAGGATGATACAGGATGACCAAGTTTTCATGTACATCTGCTGGGCTGGGGAATGATCGAAGTTGATTTCCTGGAACCTGAAGAGTTCTGCTAGTGATGGAGATTTGGTTTCCAAAGCATGTGGAGTGGACACTTTCCTTTTTTGCACCAGGCTGCCGGTGCTCATGAGGCTGGTGGGTCTTTCAGGAAGTCTTCAGTCTTTCAGCTTTGAGTGGCTCAGAAGTTTGTTCTTGCCAAGATGGAAGAAGACCAGCCCGTTCCCTTTCAGTTTGGGGAAGAAACAATGCTGAGTCACATGGTTCAAAAGGAAGACAGTTCGTATCCAAGTCTCCAAGTGATGTGTTTTTTTGGGCTCCCCAGGCCGAAAGGATCATGGACCGGCGTGCGGAAGCAGCGACAAACGAGGTGGGGCGGGAAGTTTTCAGAACACTTCCTTGGGATTGACCTCAGTTCTCAATAGACAACAGATTTCAGTCCGTAGGGATTAGAGAAGAGCCAAAAATGGGAGAAATAGAACTCCAACACCATCACAACCTTTGGCGTACCAGGTCGTTTTCGTCGGATTGAATAACTCAACACTGCTTGCAACTATATAACAATGCCCTGTGCTCCACCTGTGCCCTTTGATGCCAAGGATGCAAGCCATAGAAGAGTTGAAAGCAACTGTGAGGGCCACCCAGTGTCGGTAATGGTGTGCGAGACAGGAGATGTTTTCTGGAGAGCTTGCTTAGTGGTGCTAGAGTATCCAATGATAGGACATGGGATATTGGGTGGTGTGACGAAGGGCCTTCAGCTGGAGAACGTTGGACCCCCCCAAATCCACCTGCCAATGGCTACGAAGAGCGTCTTGCGTTCGGGAGCACCGAGGTGCGAGGCCAACAGGCTCAGATGTCCATCCTCTCTCGCAGGCACAGTTGAAACGCTCGAGTCTTTAAGCTGAGATGACTGAGATGATGTCGAAAGTGTTTGGATTTCCTCAGCACTTCTACTTAAAGCAAGTGATGCTGCGATGATTTGCGATGTGTCTGGTGCCTTTAACGTGTTTCCAGCGCATTTCTTGGTGCTCAAAAGCTGGACTTGCTACTTCTGTTCTTGGCCAACGTTTGCGCAGAGGGGTCAGGGCTTTCCTTCAACTGATATATTTTCTGTCGATGCTTGCATCCTCTCTGTTGTTATGCTGTCTTGATTTTACTGTTTGACGCAGGTGCCAGTTTTTTGAACTCTCACGTGCTTCGCTGAGAGGCAGGTCCAGCTGCGGGAAGAGGGTGAGGCGCTGCGCGAGTGTTTGGAGGCAGGGAAGTGGCGGTCAATGTGGCAATCCGTGGGAATCGCCGGGAATTCTTCCATTCCGAGCAGCAAGGCAGCTGGGACCTGCGGTACATCATGTGATTTCTCGAACCCCGGGGTGAGTGTAAGCGAGAGAATGCTTGCGGTCTGCGCACTCTTCGACTTGTCAAGAACGATGTTCCCCCTAAAAGTGAAGTTCAGATTCGACTTCCATCTTCCAACTCCGCCCTTTCTCTTCTTCTCCTTTCGTATCTCTTGTCCTTCACACTTTTCCCATCTTTTGCCTCGTCCGGCAACCAACCAACCCGACTCGTCCGAAAGGGACCCTTTCGCCTTCGCCCAGGCCTCGGGCGCCTTGGCGCCGGTGCGCTTCCTGGCGCGCTTGCACCGCCGGCGCTTCGCCGAGGTGATCAAGCGGCACCCGGGGCCATGGCCTGGGAGCTTGGATGCCGTGATGCAGATCCGGGCGCGGGCCCCGCAGATCGTTGCCGGAATTTGGGAACTTTGGGGGAGTGCCGGTTCTGGATTGCGAGTTTTTCAGTGCCGCTCATTGAGCAAGACTCTGGCAACAAAATGCAACAAAAGGATGTCGAATCTCGGAATTGACTTATCTGGCTTTACTCATTGAAGTCACTCAGATGGTTATGTTGCAGCGAGCAACTGATTCATTTACTGCAGGAGCTGGCATTAGCCACAGCTGCCAGTGCTGGGGTAGGGGCCTTGACGGTTCGGATGGAATTGGCGGCCAGTGCGCAAGTTCCATTGGTCTTTCCTTTTCTTGATGCCACTGCCAAGCTCATGCTCTCAGAGAAATTGACAAGCTGTATTCTGATTCTGTTCTCTCCTTTGATTTTTACAGCCCTGTTGCTGGACATCAGCATGGACACAGGGCAACAGTCGCCAAAATAGGTGGTATCACAGAAGGATGGGGAACAGGATGGACGGGATGGACTGACAGGCCTCCGTACAGGATGGACTGCGCCTGAAGATGTCTGAAGACTTTTCAATCCTCGGACAGCGGAGGCAATATATCTGGGTTTTGCAGCTGCAATCCATGTCCAGCCCAGGCTGCCAGCGTGGCGCCCCTGGCGGCGGCCAGCCGGGCTTTGCGGGCTGGAGTGGGCAGGGACGCCTGGGGAGCTCTGTCAGGTTCTACCACTGCACGCTGCAGTTTTCCAGTTGGTGGGCAGAAAATGGAGACCTCTACCATGGTTTTGTGATGCTTTGCGCATCCCTCACGAACATGTAAACTTGGACCTAGTCCACCCTTGCCTGCGTGGCTCAGGCAGCATGCTCTCGGAGTTCCCAGCTCTTTTCCCGTCTCAGGCAGGGTTCGTTTGCTGGAAAGCTGGCCGGTTCCGCTTTTGAGCCGAGCTTCTTTTGCTCCAAAGCTGGGGTAGGTCTACGCCATTGGCGGCGCCGACTCTGGGGCCGTGGCCTCGGGAACTTCACACATTCGCCTGCACAGCGTCAGTGATTTCCGTTGAGTGGCCAACCTTGAGGTGAGTCAGCCTTTTGATGAAAGGGGTCCGTCCTTCCGGTGATTTGCCGATGATCCGCCGCTGCGGTGATGTGACCTCTGTGTCCGAGGCCGAAACCTTGAGCTCGGTGGAGAAGTTCGACTCCAAGAGCTGCGTCCCTTGGATCGCCTCCTGACCGACCGACAGGTGCTGGGTTCTCCATCCGGGCGCGCCGGGCCAAGGTCTGGGAGACGGTGTCCCCCTTGGCGGAACCGCGGGAAAGCTGCGCCGCGGTGGCGGCCAACAGCATGTGGGGAGCCCCCGGGTGCAGCTCGGTGGAGTGGGAAAAAAGGTGTGAGGTCAACAGACCGACCCTTATGGGTGGTGTGTTTACATGGGTTGAGCGGGTGTCCATCAAAGCTATGGGCTGTGGGTTTGTTAGTAAAACAACATAAACAACGTCTGTCAACACATGAAATACGATTTGATGAAGGAGTCTCCTGCTGTCATCATGGCTAGGGGCAGGGAAATGCACTTCGGAAGATGCATCACCTGATCCCCACCGACTCGCAGTGGATGTCCATGGATGTTCCAACTCGCAGGATCTATGTGCTGGGCGGTGTCAATGCCGAGTCCCAATGCCTCAACACCGTGGAATGCTTCTCTCCACAGACGGGGACGCCTGGGAGCTCGGTTTCCAGAACGGGATGCTTCGGCCTGGCAGATCACAACAGAATTCCTCTCTCCATAGGTGGCAAGTTCCATGCGTGCGACAGAAGTTCACTGATGTTTGCAGACAAAGACCTTTTTGGCTGGTGGCGACTCCACGCAGACCATGTCGATGACTCGGCTCCCAACACGGAGCGTTCCATGCCGGTGGAGCCAAGGTGGGAGCCGATGCCTCCGATGCGGCATGTTCCTGGTCCTGCAAGGGGAGATGTTGGCAGCTCGGGAGCTGGGGTTGTGTGGCTGAATATGCCACCTGTACTGATTAATTAGATATACTGCAGATAGGCGTCAAAGTTTCGAGAAGAGCGCTTGCTCTTTGGAAGAGGGGATGTATGTAATTCTTTTTCTTTGGAAGAGGGGATGTATGTAATTCTTTTTCAAAACCATTATTATTATTATTGCATAGAAGTGACAAGTGCTTTACAATCTGCTTGACGGAAAACCTCCGGGCCGTTTCCTGTTCTTCACAGGGCTCCCCTCAAGACTGTACCCACCTAGATCCCTAGGCGTCCAAACAAAAGGCGAGCAACCCTGTTGAGGCCCGTGCTGCCGCGGCGGCCGCGGCCTGTGGTGGGCAGGTGGGAGAGACGTGGGCAGTCCCGATGGAATCTCCTTGGCGACGCCTGGGCAGACATCCCCAAAAGGGGAATCTTGTTAAATAGTCAAAGGCTTTACCAGTCAAAACTTCGAACTTTCCAAGCCTTCAAGGCTCAATTCCATCATGGGCCGTTCAAAATACTCGGAGACGTTTGACAGTGCCATGCCTCTACCACGCTCTCTTTGTTTGCAAGAGAGCAGGTGTAAGACTTTTTCCCCAAACAGTTTACTGTTAGGGGTTCTCAATTCTTTCTTAAGATGTGTCCGCCCTTTGTGTCACTGCTTGTGTCCGCCCTTTCCCGCTGGCCATGTAGCATTTCTATTCATTTGTCTCCCAGGTCTGTCACTCCTGGTGTCCGCCCTTTTCCGCTGGCCAAGTAGCATTTCTATTCGTTTGTCTCCCAGGTCTGTCACTGCTGGTGTCCGCCCTTTTCCGCTGGCCATGTGGTGTCCGCCCTTTTCCGCTGGCCATGCAGCATTCAATTCGTTTGTCTTTAAAATGCTTTCTTTACTTTTGTCTCCCAGGATCGGTGCCTGCACTGCTGGTGTCCGCCCTTTTCCGCTGGCCATGTAGCATTTCTATTCATTTGTCTCGCAGGTCTGTCACTGCTGGTGTCAGCCCTTTTCCGCTGGCGATATAGCATTTCTATTCATTTGTCTCCCAGGTCTGTCACTGCTGGTGTCCGCCCTTTGCTGCTAGCCATGTAGCATTTCTATTCGTTTGTCTCCCAGGTCTGTCACTGCTGGTGTCCGCCCTTTTCCGCTGGCCATGTGGTGTCCGCCCTTTTCTGCTGGCCATGTAGCATTTGTATTCATTTGTCTCCCAGGTCTGTCACTGCTGGTGTCCGCCCTTTTGCGCTGGCCATGTAGCATTTCTATTCATTTGTCTCCCAGGTTTGTCCCTGCTGGTGTCCGCCCTTTTCCGCTGGCCATGTAGCATTTCTATTCATTGTCTCCCAGGTCTTTCACTGCTGGTGTCCGCTTTTTTCCGCTAGCCATGTAGCATTTCTATTCATTTGTCTCCCGGGTTTGTCGCTGCTTGTGTCCGCCCTTTTCCGCTGGCCATGTAGCATTTCTATTCACTGCTGGTGTCCGCCCTTTTCCGCTGGCCATGTAGCATTTCTATTCATTTGTCTCCCAGGTCTGTCACTGCTGGTGTCCCCTTTTTCCGCTGGCCATGTAGCATTTCTATTCATTTGTCTCCCAGGTCTGTCACTGCTGGTGTCCGCCCTTTTCCGCCGGCCATGTAGCATTTCTATTCATTTTGTCTCCCAGGTCTGTCAGTGTCATTTCTATGCATTTGTCTCCCAGGTCTGTCGCTGCTCTCGCAGGTCTGTCCTGCTGGTGTCCGCCCTTTTCCGCTGAAAATGCATTTGTCTGCCAGGCCTGTCGCTGCTGGTATCCGCCTTTGTCTCCCAGGTCTGTCTGCTGCTGGTGTCCGCTGTCACTGGTGTCCGCCCTTTTCCGCTGCTGGTGTCAGCTCTTTTCTGTTGGCCATGTAGCATGTCTATTCATTTGTCTCCCAGGTCTGTCACTGCTGATGTCTGCCCTTTTCCGCTGGCGATGCAACATTTCTATTCATTTGTCTCCCAGGTCTAGGTCTGTCACATGGCCCATGTAGCATCTCTTTTCATTTGTCTCCCAGGTCTGTCGCTGCTGGTGTCCGCCCTTTGCCATTGGCCATGTAGCATTTCTGTTCATTTGTCTCCGAGATGTGTCACTGCTGGTGTCCGCCCTTTTCCGCTGGCGATGCAACATTTCTATTCATTCCCTAAGCAGTTTGCCGCTACGTAGGGTTTCTCAATTCTTTCTTAAGATGTGTCCGGCCTTTCTGTCAGTGCTGGTGTCCGCCCATTTCTGCTGGCCATGCAGCATTCAATTCGTTTGTCCTTAAAGTGATTCCTTTACTTTTGTCTCCCAGGTTCGGTGCCTGCACTGCTGGCATCCGCCCTTATCCCCTTTCCAGCATTTCTATTCATTTGTCTCCCAGGTGATTTCTGTACTTCCCCAAACAGGCGTGCTTTCTAAGAGTCTCCGCCTTGGTGCCGGACAGCGTGTCCGCCTCCGCCTTGTTTCCCTTGGTCTCCCTTCTTGTTGGTCGCTGTGTCCCCCTTCTTGTTGGTCACTGTGTCCGCTGGTCTCCCTTCTGTTTCATTTTGTCTCCCTTCTTGTCTCCCTTCTTGTTGGTCACTGTGTCCGCCTTGTTTCATTCTTTCTTTGTCTCTGGTCTTGTCTCCCTTCTTGTGGGTCATTGTGTCCGTCTTGTCTCCCTTCTGTTTCCTTTGTCTCCCTTCTTGTCTCCCTTCTTGTTCATCATTCTGTCCGTCTTGTCTCCCTTCTGTTATTTCCTTCTGTTTCTTTTTGTCTCTGGTCTTGTCCCCCTTTGTCTCCGGTCTTGTCTCCCTTCTTGTCCCTTCTTGTTGGTCATTGTGTCCGCCTTGTCTCCCTTCTGTCTCCCTTTGTCTCGGGTCTTGTCTCCCTTCTTGTTGGGCACTGTGTCCGTCTTGTCTCCCTTCTGTTTCCTTTTGTCTCCCTTCTTGTTTCCCTTGTTGTCCCCCTTCTTGTTGGTCATTGTGTCCGCCGTGTCTTCATTTGTCTCCCAGCTGCTCTGCCCTGCAATATTACATTTGTCTCCCAGCTCTGGGCTGCGTGTCGCTTGCAATCCTTTACATTGTCATTTGTCTCCCGTGTCTCCCAGCTCTGGACTGCTGTGTCCGCCTCTGCCTTGCAATCCTTTACATTTGTCTCCCAGCTCTGGGCTGCTGTGTCCGCCTCTGCCTTGCAATCCTTTACATTTGTCTCGCAGTGCTGGGCTGCTGTGTCCGCCTCTGCCTTGCAATCCTCAATTTCACATTTGTCTCCCAGCTCTGACTGCTGTGTCCGCCTCTGCCTTGCAATCCTTTCCATGTGTCCTCGCAAACCCTTGCATTTGTCTCCCAGCTCTAGACTGCTGTATCCGCCTCTGCCTTGCAATCCTTTATTTGTCACCCAGCTCTGGGCTGCATGTCGCTTGCAATCCTTTACAGTTGTCTCCCTGCGTCTACATTTGTCTCCCAGCTCTGGACTGCTGTGGCCGCCTCTGCCTTGCAATCCTTTGTCTCCCAGCTCTGGACGTCGCAAACTCTAGTTGCAGAGTGTTCCGATTTTTAAAAACACAAACTGTTTTGGGGTCTACGGTGGTGTCATTGACTTTTACTTGATTCTGGTCTCCATTCCTTTGTGCCAGGAAATTGATCCAGATTTCATGGATGCACCCGTTCTACGTACCTGAGAATCGTGCGCTTCACGTTTGACTCTTCCTTGATGTAAAATGTGAGAAAACACCTCCGGCAACATTGCAATGGCACTCCCTCAAAGGTTTCAAAAGGCGGCAGGGCTCGGCCATGGGCCGGTCCGACTTGGACAGTCGCAGAGTCCGACCAAGTCGGTGGTCGAGTCCAGGTCTACGTGATCGGTGGCCGTGATGGCTTTCAATGCCTGGACAGTGTCGAGCGCCTCTCGGCGAAACATCCCGCCATCCTCTTGGCGAGACATCCCGAAAGTCATCCAGAATAGAATCAGATGAATTCAAATGATATGATATGATCATAGGTGGTTGGTTAGAGGTGACTACACCATAAACTGCGGTGTCCCAGATTGTTGGAGAAGCGACACAGAAGTGAGGATTCTTGTCGGCTGTCCATCAGACACTCCCTTTCCTTTGTCTGCAGAAGCTATAAAAAGAGGCTTTGATCCGGTGGCCCGGCGTTGGCGGCTGCAAGCTTCCTTGCGGAGTGCCAGGCGGGGGCGAGGCGCTGTAAAGCCACAGATCGACCTGCGCGGACCTGCAGTCTGTTGGCCTTTCCAACCTTTCCAGTCCACATCCGGTTGTTTGGCAAAAAGCATTGCATTTTGAGGAACCAGGCACAACCCTCTCAGTTGAGTTGTGTTTGTGGTCCGATGACCGAGGCTTGGGTTGGTTGACTCATTCACTCCGTCCGGTGCAGACCACGTGAGTTTTCGTCCCGGTGGGAGCGGTTTCCAGGCTGGGTGCGGCTGCCTGTGTCTTGGGAGGTGGCATCTATGTGATTGGAGGCAAGGGCGGTGGTCGTGTCCTGGACTCGGTGGAGCGCCTGGAGCACGAGAACAGGTGGGGAGAGTGGTGGGACTGGCCAGAACCGTGGGGAGTTGGTGTGGAGAGGGACAAAACACGCGTGATCCCAGACACATGTTGCAGAGAATCTCTTACGAGCAAAACGCTGCTCTTAAACACATTGTAGCCCTTCAGAGCTGTTTTCTTGTCATGTCCAAAGGATCCCAACCAAGGATCCACCTACCAACCATTGAGGCGACCTACGAACCAGTTGAACCATACGCCGAGACGAACCGGCACCTATACGCCAAACCGCCTAGCCTATACGCCCTGTCCGCCAGTTTCTGGGAGATTTTGCCCTCCCTCCACGCGCGCCGCTATCGTTGCGCCTCCGCGGCGGCGCACGGCCGGGTCTACGTGGCCGGCGGCTGCGACGGGGCCTGGCAGACGGGGCTGCGGAGTGTGGAGCGCTTTGACCCGGAGACCAGAGCTTGGAGTATCTTGGCACCCCTGCAGGTGGGGCTACTGCAAAAAAATCCATTTTGATTTTAAGCGGCGGATTGAATCCAACTGGCAGTGTGCAGGTCAAATCTTTCCATGAGGCGAATTCCCTGACTATTTGGTCTGACTTCCACCCCCCCCCTGGAAGCGCTTCCTCACCCAAACCACCGCCACCTCCGTCCGTCCAGGTGCCCCGCTGGGGGGCGGCCGCCGTGCCGGCCGGCGGGTCGGTGTGCGTCTTCGGCGGCCGTGGGGCGTCGCCCTCCACGGCGTTGAGCTCGGTGGAGCGCTTCGATCCGGCGACGGGGACCTGGGAGCCGCTGCCGCCGATGAAAGTGCCCAGGAAGTGCCTCGTTTCGGCAGCGATGAGGGTGGAGGGTGGGCGGGTGGGAGAAAGGGCCGGCCATGGCCAACCATTGCAGGTGTCTTTTAGGAGGCTTTTGGAGCCATTTAAGTATTTAAAGTTTTCATAGTTTGGCAGAGTTGTTGTACATGTGATAGGGAGAGAGACTTTCGAGTCTACTCTACTCTGTTGAAGATGAGTCGAAGATGCTTTCCCCTGCTACCCCCGTTTTCATGTTCAACACAGCCATTGTAGTGGCCACTTGGTGCCAGGTACACGCCTTGCAATCTCAAACAGATATATTCTGATATACGGTATCTGTGTCGAGTCGTAAACATGGACCCGGACACCGCCACCAAATGTGTCCGCAAACTTAGATTTGGTCATGCGCTCCAATGTAGTCCGCCAGGTTCTGTGGGGCGGCTACCTGTCGCGACTGAGCTCTGCCTGCAACAGGAGGATGTCAAGAAACACCGTTTTTCCACCATGTCATCCATGTTAAATCCATGGCGTCGTACATGTGTTCGACAAGTTTTCGTTTAATCAACAGCTGCGAGATGGCAGTATATTGCAGTCCTGGTTAAACTGAGAGATACCAGTTTGTCATGCCCGAACTGCGCCGCCGCCCGCGCATGGCTCACATGGAGCGGTGCTTGGACAAAGAGCCAGCACCTTTGCTTCGGAGACCAAGATGAACACAGGAGGGGAAGCGGAATGACCTGATCCGAGGGCCAAGGACGGCCAAGCACTCCCATTCTTTTGAGTTGTTGATTTATTTGCCAATCCTGTTACAGTTATCATATGTTATAATATTAATCGATCCTTTGATGGAAAGGATGGCTGTTCTCCAAGATGGTTCTTTCTTCTTCCCTTCCTCCAGTGGAACGATCTTCTTCTCGTGGCTCAAGGCGATAGCCTCACATGGCGCTCCGTCGCCGGCGACCGCTTTTGTACATAGCCGCGGTGGCGGAAGGGGGTGGAGGGGCCGAAGAAACTCTCTGCAGAGGACAGTCATCAGTCAATCAGATTTCCTCTAGTTTACAAAGAGTCTGCAAGTCTGCAAGCTGATGCGCAAGCAGAGGAACAAGAAGCTACTACTGTAGGGGCTCCTGGCCTTATTACTAGGAGCAAGGACGCTACTAGGGGCTCCTGGTATCGCTACTAGGAGCATTCTTGCTACTAGTAACAAGCAGCTACTAGGGGCTCCTGATCACCATGCGGAGCTGTGCTCGGCCAAAAGTGTGCTCTGCTAGCCCTGGTTCCAGGGCCTCGAAGGGCTTCCCACTCGCCTAAGCGAGGCTGGTACATTAGGTGCACGTGGAAAAGGTTGGGGGCCTGCGGGGGCCTAGGGGGTTGGTGAGTGGGGCATTGCCTGGCGCAACACAAACTCTGTCATTGCAACAACAATATGTTTTTTTCTTTTTAGGACTCATTTTCATCATTCTCATGAAAGGCGAAGTGTCGGAACGTGTCGGGACAATACCAATAGAATTAATTTGGCAGTTGGGCTGGTTTGCTTCTTTCCATTTCATTTCTAGAAACATGATATAATTGAACCATGCAGAGACATTGCAAATCCGCTTTTGATTCTTGCCATGGATGCTTTTTGATTTGGAGATTTGCACTCCACACAGCACACATATCCCACCCAGTCATACGATTTTTCTCAGATCAATCCGGGAACCTCCAATGCCACGTGTCGTCTCGTTGTCGTCTTGCAGCTCAAGCCCCGCTGGGGTCGGGGCTGGAGGCCCTTCAGACCTGGCGCGAGGCAACCAACTCGTAGCTTTGGTGGAACTCCAAGAAAAAGGATTTTATTCCTGTCTTCACAAGTTATGGTCAATTGGAATCTTCAAACATCCCACGAAAGGAATCAAGCTTGTCCACACTTGCACAAGCTCGTGTTTCTTCCGTTTTTGCCCCCCTCTTCTTCCTGCATTTGGGGTGGCTTGGGTTGCTGACATAGCCATGCCCTTCTTGTCGTCACTCGCTTCCAAGACAAAAAGCAAATGCTGCTTGGATCAGAAACCCGTGAGACGCGGGGAGGTGCGACGCCCGCGGGAGCTGCGACGTGGTGGAATTTCCTTTCAAGCAAACAAGGAGTGTCAGTGCATCTAAAAAGAAGCTATTAATATAATATATATATATACACCAATAATGTTATATTTTACTTTTTCATTCTTTGCCTTGTGAGTGTTCATAACAAGAACACTATGTCGCGCAGTACCGCTACCGCTATTGGAACATATATGACATATAATACCATCATGTCAAGTTTGAACTGAGCTGCGATCCAAAGGTTATCAGTAGAAACTTGACTAAATGAGTATGACTAGGGGTGACTGGCGACCACTTGATGTATGTAGACGAACACAAAAGTGCAGCGCCAGCGCAAAGGGTGCAACTCATGGTTCTTCCATTTGCTATGTTCTTCCTCCCTTTATCCTCTTCTGGTTGGCCCATGCACCGAAGTAAGATTGGCATTTGCTTGCAGCGCTCGCTGAGGTGGACTGGTACTACCTGCAATGGTGAAGCCATCAAGCGGAGACCAGCCACCCTCCGATGATGATGTAGAGCCACAGTCGCGTGGCTGCAAGGGCTTAGATGGCATCCCTTGCTTCTTTGAGAGCACCGACTTTTTCAACTTGACCCACAACAGCAAAACCACAGTCAAAAAGGCCTTCAATCAGGCTTTGCTCTGTGCCCCTAGACCCTAGAAACGCACTGGTTGAGTGACAGATGGGGAAGATCGGTCTGTGGCGCCATCCCAAAATGTTGAACACGGCAGGAAGAAACAAAGAGGGGGCAGGGCCCTCTACATAATTCGGGGCCATCTCAATAAGGTGCCCTTTAAACAATGTTTATATAATTATGTGTATATATATATATATATGACTCGCATGCACATTCCTGCCGCGAGCTTCTTGGGATCAAGCGGGTGCATGGCCCACCGCCCCGTAGCTATAGGAGCTGCGTCGGGAACCCTGTCGTCGCTCGCTTGGAGGATCCTAGCAGACACGTTTGATCCCATCACTAAGGTTCCTGAGGTTTTTGAGTGTCAGTGTCCTGCATTCTTTCCAGACTTCGCATTTGACTTGGACCTGAAATCCTTGGTGATCGGCCTCCTTATCGGTGTAGCCTTAGGCCCTATCCTTGAACTGCTCTTAGTCCTCAGGCACTTGTGGGTGTCAGTGATTAGAAGACAGTTGGTAGCCTTGCATCATCGACCTGTTGCTCCTCCACTTTACCGCACTTCGTAGTGCATCGCCTTCCGAGGCGATTCGAGCCAAGTAGAAGATCAGACCGTCTGTCGTTCTAAGGCCTAGTACTAAGGACTGCAGGGGTTGAAAGCTCCGGCTCCCAGGGGGCGCTGAGGTCTTCAGTTCTCAAGTGTGCACTATAATTCATCTAATTCTCGTGCTAGAGGTCAGCCTAGTGTCCTTTGTCCGAATCTGTCTACAAGTTTCTAGTTTAAAGCAGGCTCTTCCTGAGGCTACGTGTGCTCAGCCTCCAGTCCGAACATGGATGATGAGCTAGACGGGGAGCCTTTCACGCCCCCCCCTCAGGATCGCACTCCTACGGTTCAAGATTTTTTCCTTGTTCTGGACGACGGCAGTGCGGAGCTTGAGTACCAGATTGGTCATTTGAATCTCCAGGCTGCTGACGGGAGCCCTTTGATTGTTCCTGTTATTGCCATTGCAGCTGTGCATTCTCGGATACTAGTCGCTGTTCCAGGCAAGTTTTGGCATCGAACCGTGAAGAATCGTCTTCTCCCAGCTGGCGCCCTCAGCAAGGTGAATTCCATTTCAGTTTCGGCTGTTGTTGAGAGCGAGCGAGACCACCAAGCTGACGATATCTTCATCAAAGTATGGTTGGGACTTTTGGCACCAGAGCTGGAATCCAACCTTGTGTTTGGCGAGCTGAGTCAGGATGCTGTGAGCTCAGCCTTCCCCACAGAAGATGGTACCCTGGGTTTTGTGCCTTATGCTCTTGCCCTCTCTCAGCTAGCCGACGACCGCTACTCGTTCTTGACCGCCGAGAGCGAAATGGTGGAACAAGACACTCGAAATCGGCTCGCTCGGTTAGAAGAAGCCATTCTCAACATCAACACCTCCCTCCAGAGCTTGCGGAGCCAGAAGGGCCCTGTTGTCGAGACTACGCAGCCTGCTGCGGCGCCCAGAAACACAGCAAAGAGCTCCAATCTGGCTCCAGAAAAAGCCCACGTCGAATCTGGATTAGCAGGTGTCGATCCTCACACTGCCCAGGCTGCTTTGAAGGCCGGGGTAGAGCGGCAACATTTGGAAGCCCTTGGACAGATGCTGCTTGGTCATCGGCCTCATCTTCCGGATGCTCCTCGGACTGCGAAAGCCAAGGTAGATGTGCTCGGCGAACCCCTCGACGAGGTGAACGAACCAGAAAGTCAGCTTCCCCTGCACGAGCCAGAGGATCCGATGCAGTCTGCTCTAGTGAAGCTCACAAGCATTGTGGAGACCCTCGCTTCAGCCAAGAAAGTGAAAGGTCGTTCTCTGGAAGACACATTGGACGATTTTGTAGGCCACTCCGAGGTGAGTTCCTCTTCCTCGTGCACTGGGAATCGAAGACATTCAGCCGTGCTCGCCACATTACGGCGAGCGATGAAAGACTGCCCAGAGGAGATCTTTGCAGTGGTCGAGCAAAACATGCTTCGAGATTGTGGCTTAGTCGAGTTGTCACCAGGTCTCAGTGCTCATCAGACGACTTTCCGCGGGTGGTGCGAGCATCGGAGCCGAGTGCCCAACATCCCAGGCACTGTTCGAATGCTCTGGGCTGTGTGCGGAGCTCTCGACAGTCTGAGAGCGCATCGTGTGGAAGAAGCAAAGGCCAAACTTGCTCTCTTGATCAGTGCGATAGATCAGGTGGCCTGCGATCGAGGTTCCTGGATTCTAGGGTCAGAGATACTTCTCGAGGAATCCCCTCCTCTGAGCAATTTCGGCAAACACGTGCCTCCAGAAGCGTTCGAATGCCAACATTCGCGACTCCTCCCTTCGTCATGGATGGAAGCCATGATGCACAAAGTGAAAGAAGTCGACGACTTTGCAGAAAAGAAAGCCAAGCTAGGAAAGAAAGCCAAGTTGCCATCGCCTCCTGGCCTGGCGCAGCAAAACCAGGAAGAAGAGAAAGGAAAGGGGAAGGGCAAGTACAGGGCCCGTCAGAGAGGAAGCAGTGCTCAGAACCAGGGCGAAGAACCTGGCCAGAGCCCTGTGTGAAAGAGAAGAAGCCTCAAGTTCTTGGTGAGTCCTTTGAACAAACTGCGACTCCCGAGTCATTGCATGATGACGCACCTTCGGCCGAGAAAGTCCGCCGAAAAGTTCCCGGCGCAAATGCCCGTACAGTCTGCCCTCAGCAGTGGTTGAATTCATCTTTTCGTTTCATCCGGAACCTTGGTGGACATTTCGCTGGGTTCCTCAGATCGTTCCATCGCAAGCCTGCCACTTCCTCGAAGTTGAGGAGTACCGCCTTGATGTGGCCTATGCCGCTGCCTTACCCGGGCGCTTTTTTAAAGTCAGCGCTCAACGAAAACCGAGCCTTCCAGCGAGGTGTCAACCTTTGCGTAGCCTCGTTGAACTGGATTCATCTCCGGAGGCCTGAGACATGTCCTCCTGAGATCGTGCTCTTTGAAAAGTTGGGTAAGAAGCAATGGCAGATCGTTCATCAGATCGAAGGCTGCTTGAAGGCGTGGATGGATTGTCCCCCCATTACCTCCGAGGCTATGGGACGGACGGCAGCTAAGGTGGAGGACATCGAAGCGGCAGTCTACCGTCTTGGAGCTTTCGAGTCTCAAGCTTTTGCTGTTTTCGATGAACTTTTCACTGATAGCAGTGGCCAACCTCGCGTAAAGACATCAAGAAGCCGACTCTCCCCTGGTTTGCAAAAAGTCTCGCCTGGTGAATTCTGTGGTGAACTGCCCGGGGTTGATGTCGTCGTTGCCAAACAAATCGAAGCTGATAGGTTAGAATTTCGAGGAGAGCCAAACTTCAATCCGAGCCCGTTTTTGGATTCTCATGGACAGGCAATATTTGAGAGACCTTTGTCATGTGCTCTTCATCCCCTAGAATGTCCTTGCCCAATTCCTCAGGTGAAGGTGCACGCTTTGGAACGCGAAAAGTGGCGATTGCTGGAGAAACTAGATGCTTCAGGACGTCTGGGTGTGGTACGAGCTTCAGAAGTCTTGCCTGGATTCCAAGCGGGTCTATTTTGTGTTCCAAAAGATGCAGAACGGGATCGTCTCATTTTTGATTCTAGACCGTTTAACTGTTTGGAGCAACCTCCACGAAGATGGATTGGGTCGATGGCCGCAGCTTCTTGCCTGTTGGATATGCAACTGCCTGAAGAAGCGGTCTGTTTGACTTGGGGAACTGATTTGCGTGAATTCTACTATTCTTTTTCAGTTACCAGAGAACGGACCATTCGAAATAGCCTCTTGATCACAGCTCGCCCGTGGCAAATTCGGAGGTTCAGATGCTATTCACCTGAGCTCGAGAATGAGTCTCAGCCATTGTATTTGTGCCTCCAGACACTGGCCATGGGAGACAGTTGCGCAGTAGAACTAGCCCAAACGGCCCACATCGGTATACTGATTCAGCATGGACTTTTAGAAGAAGCAAATCTGATGTTTATGAACTCAGCCTTGCCACGGAATCCTAGTCTTCTTGGAGTAGTCATAGATGATTTGATACTGTTTGAGCAAGTGCTTCAACAAGATTTGCATATTCTTCACGATGAGCTTCGTTCAAACTGTTTGTTGGACCACGCTTTAGAGACTTACAAAGCTCTGGGGCTTCACCCTCATGAAGGAAAGACTTTTCGAGCAGAGCCTGTTGCGGAGTTCTGGGGAGCTTTGTTTGATGGACAGAGAGGGTATGTTCGTGCAAACTTGAAGAGATTGGTGCCCATCCTGTTCGCCACTCTAGGAATCCTGAAACTAGGTGTCACTACGGTTTCTCTGCTGGAGGTTTTGTTGGGCGCTTGGACTTCGATATTTTTGTTCAAGCGACGGATGCTTTCCTTAGTAAACCTCTGTTACAGCGCTGCGCAACACGCTGAGAACCGGCGACAAGTCTTAAAACTTTCAGAGGACTTAAAGAGTGAGTTGTTACTTTTTGTGACTCTCAGCCCGCTGGCTTGTACCTTTCTGAAAGCGCGGAATAACAACAGAATCTATGCCTCCGACGCTTCTTCCTGGGGTTTAGGGGTGTGTTCTGCAGTCTTACCTAGTTGGCTCCGGGGAGAAGTTCACAGGCATCGTCTTCGGAAGTCTTCCTGGGTTCGTTTACTGAGTCCGTTGAAAGCTTTGAAACGAGTCCAAGGATGTTTGGGAGCTGATGAAGAACTTCCAGACGGCAGCACCCTGCCTGGCCATCCACTCTTTTTGGAGCTGCTGTCCGCATTACCATTCGACGAAGACTTCAGAAAGAAGACAAAGGTTGGTCAGCATATAAACATAGGGGAGTTGCAAGCTTTAGCAAAGTCTGAGCAACACGCTGCTGGTTTTCAATTTCCAAATCGGACGATGTATGTTGCTGACAGTCAAGTAGCCCTAGGAGCATGGATCAAAGGACGGTCGTCGTCGATCGGGTTGAACCAGATTCTTCAAGATTCTCTTCCTATTCACTTAGGGTGCGGAGTTATTTCAAACGGGGCCTTTGTTCCTAGCGCCTACAATGTTGCAGATGACCCCACAAGACACCGTGAAGTTCGAGCGCCTTGTAAAGAACCCCTTCAGTGGCTCCCTGAAGAATTTCCGGACGGTGAAAGGCAACGGCTAGTTTTGTTTGATACATGGTTATCAGAGCACGAGTGCCTACCGTTACAACTATCTGGGCTACCTCCTCTCGAAGAACTTCGAGCTCCACAGTCTGAACCTATCTGGGGCCATCGGGGTAAGTCAAAAGCCTTCTTCATGAAGAACAAAGTAGAAGCCAAGCGCCGGGTCCAGAAAACACTGCTTTCACCTACTTCTCCAGAACGGAAATTGCCGGCCCAGGTAAATCCCAGAGATGCTGGCGCGCGTGGAGTTCGCCAACTTTCAGAGCGAGCGCTGACAGCTTTGCGCCGCGTCAGTCGGCAGCAATTTCTGTTTCCGAAAACTTGGGAAGTTCCTACAAGCTATATACCCGACTTTCCTGGTTATCTGGATTTGTATTCTGGTCGTAAAGGAGTAGCTCGTGCTGTCTGTGAACTTGGTGATTTGTGGTGCATTACTTTTGAGATCGAGGACTCCGAACTGCAAGATTTGGGGAAAGAATCCAACAGAGCACTTGTCCAAGAACTTTTAGAATCCGAAGCAGTTTGTTGTTTTGGGGCTGCCATTTTTTGCAGATCTTTTTCCAGAGCAGTCAGACCACAAATTCGCACACCAGCATCACCTGCCGGGGTGAGCGGTCTCAGTGAGCGAATGGCTGAATCTGTCGCTCAAGGGAATGATCATTCGCAGTGGTTAAGCCTCATGGTCGCCATTGCTTTGAGCAAGGGCATTATTTGGTGGGTGGAAAACCCTGACGGAAGTTTTCTTTGGCTCCAAACCGAATGGGAACACTTTCATGCCAGAAATCAGCAAGAGTCCTTCAGGATTGATTACTGTAGATGTGGGGCACCTTGGAGAAAGCGAACCAGAATTCTCACGAACTGCCATCTGAAAGGTCAACACTTGTTTTGCTCGAGAGACCACAGCCACCAACGACTATCCGGATGGTCTCGCATTCATCGCATGGCATGGACGCGGGCCGCCCAGACCTATCCTCGCGCGCTGTGCTTCTGGATAGCAACAGCGCTTTTGATTGATACGGGCAACTTACCCGGGCGAAAGAAGGTTGATGTGGGCATTCTAGCAAAATGCCAGTCTGGCAGGATTGGAGACGCCTCCCTTCCAGGGCCCAGAATTCGAGCTCTCAGGCCTCGGCCTGTCACCCAGCTCGACGAGGTCACTTTAGTCGAGCCTAGCACTGAGCTCCTTGGTCTTAAGATTTGGGAACGCTTTCGACAGTGGCGCCTCAAGAAATTGAGTGAAGAAGCTTTTCTGAATCTAATCCTGTGTCCCCAAACCCTTGTTGAACTTGTTGTTGCCTTCGGGCGCCACCTATTTGAAGATGGCTCCAGTTTGTACTTGTTCCGACACCTCTTGGCCGCCATTCAGAGATGGCATCCTGACTTTCGGCCTTTCCTCGGGAAAGGATGGCAGCTTGTCGGAAAGTGGGAGCGTCTGGAGCCTAGTGAACATAGGACACCGCTGCCATTTGTAGTCTACCGAGCTATGGTCGTGGTCGCCTTGATGTGGGGTTGGAGACGAGTTGCGGGGATTTTAGTGCTTGCCTATGAAGGCATCTGCAGACCTGGGGAACCTCTCGCAGCTGTTCGCAGTGATCTCTTGCTTCCTCGTGATTTGATTTGTGAAAGCGCATCGGTTTGTTTCTTACTGATCCGAAAGCCCAAGTCGCGTTGGCGGGGAGTTGGCAGAGTGCAGCATGTAAAAATACAGAACTGTGAAGTGTCTGGTTTTTTGGATTCAGTTTTCGGACCTCTTCCACGCGATGCCCCTTTGTTTGCAGGTTCACCATCTGCTTTCCGGCGTCGTTGGGATGTTTTGTTAGCAGTCCTGCGAATTCCTAAGAAATTGTCTCTCACTCCGGCATCATTGAGAGCTGGAGGGGCGATACAAGCCTATCGCAACAATGAAGAGATCAGTCGATTGTTGTGGCGTATGCGCTGGAAGCATATAGAAACTCTGTCCCACTATCTACAAGAAACCGGAGCAGTTTCGTTGTTTGGCAACCTACCTCCCGATTCGAGGGAACGTGTCACTTTGGCCGCTGAGCTGTTTTCAGTTCTTCTCCGAAGCTCCTGAATTCCTGACGGTGCGAAAGCCCATGCCGAGAACTCGATCTCGACTACCGCCGTGTCTGGTTCTTGCCTGGTTTTGGATTGCAGCAGCCAGATTGATTCAGATCCTCCTTCTTTGATCCGAC